TGAGGATGTAGTATTTTGATGGAGTATGACTCCCATTTAACAAATACAGAAACAGAGTTTGCTTGGCGATGTTGAATATCTTGTCTGAAATCACATAACTGATACGTGGTTGAGCCAAGAATCACCCCCACATCCCTTGAAAACAGACTCATGGTCTTCAGCTCTATCACTGCTATGACAGAGTTTCTCTTCAGCTCTTTTAATCATATTCAATCAGTTCCCAAACCTTGTTGGTTTATCCTCTGAATTTTAGCACAAACATCCCTTTGACCGCTTTAACCCTCATGCCTTGATTACTGGTGATGTCAGCATCTTCCTTATGGGCCTCTTTGCTTCTAGCCTCTCCCTATCTAATCTGCCCTCCACACCATAGCTAGATTCACTGTTCTAAAGCATAGCTTTCCCTATGTATTGGTGTAATCTTCAATAAATAGTGTCATCTCTTTCGGTCTGTGTGTATGTCTGTAAAGGGAGTGAATTAGATAGCTACAACAGTTGTATTGAGTTCTAGAATTTAAAATGTTTTTCAGGTCACTGTTCTACCCTCCAAGGTTCCATGAGTCTCCCATTAACTATGACCCCAGCTTCTTAGACTAGCATTCAAGGCTTGCCATTCATCTTGTGGTCTTATCCCCCACTGTGCTAGAGCACTCTATTGGGAGTATCTAATCAGTTTCTCTGGAATTTTCAACTCTTCCCTGCTTGCATCCTTTGCACTTGGTTGTTTTCCTCGTCTCCAGGACCTTTAGACTTATCTACATCCCGATCATACCTCTACGAAACCTTCCCCCTGTTCTACCAAGGCAACCCTTTCTCCATAATAGTTGAAGTCATTAGTGCAATTCACTAAACATTACTCCTGTTATTATTTTTTTGGGGGGCGGGTGAATATATTCAATTTGCAAGTTTATTGTTTCACTGTTGCTGTTGTTGCTGTTAAGCAAGAAGAGGGTGGAAGGCCAGGGATCTGATATTTGAGGTAGTGAATTCCCATTCTTGGAAGTTTCAAGCAGAAACTGAAACCCTTTACCAGGGTTTCTGGAGAGATTGGCCCATATGTCCTTTAAGATTATTCACAGTTCAGGGGCGCCTGCCTGACTCAGTCAGAAAAGCATGTGACTCTTGATCTCAAGGTCATGAGTTTGTGTCCCACGTTGGGTGCAGAGATTACTTAAATAAGTAAATAAAACTTAAAAAATATACTACTGTTAGCTTTAAATTCTTACGGTTTTCTGATTTGGTTTGCTGAAACATTAACCTACAGGAGCCTGAAGGGTTGTGTGTAGGGTTGGGCAAGGAAGGGTAGGGTGAGTCATGTAATTAGGATGGCTTCCAGGAAGAGATGAAATCTTCCCATTTTCTAATGCCCATTCCCCTTCTCCAGCATCTGCCTGGGCAAGATCCTCCCGCACCTTCTGAGGCTTATAACATCTTTAAAAGAACCTGGCTCTAGGACATGGTCTTACAAAATCTGTCAGTCAACAACATTGTAATTATCCAACTCTCAGGCTTCACTAGACCTAGTGAATCAGAGTTTGCATTTAACAATTCCCTGTGTGATTTGTTTGTACATAGAGGTTTTAGAGCACTAGTGCAGCGGACCCCAACAACTTATAAAGGAGCTTTGTAGGTAACTATTGAACTGATATTTAATGCACCTTCTCCAAAAAAAAAAGAAGGAAGAAAGAAAGGAAGGAAGGAAGGGAAAGAAAGAAAACTAGGAGGCACCTGGGTGGCTCTGTGGTGGATAGTGCAACTCTTGAATGCAGGGTTGTGGGTTCGGGCCCCATGTTAGGTGTAGAGATTGCTTAAAGATAAAATCTTAAAAAAAAAAAAAGTAGAAAATTAAAATCTTAAAAAAAAAAAAAGAAAGAAAACTAGGAGCTAATATCTATTTTTTTCCTCATGTTCCATATCCTATCCTTCAGTAAGACCTATGGCCTTAACCTTGAATATATATCCTGTTACTAACCCGTTTGTCTCTTTCTCCTTTGTCATTACATAGTCCAAACCACCAGCATCTCCCACTTGGACTAACAGTGTAGTTTCAATTAGCTCTCCTGATTCTGTTTAAAGAAAAAAATCCCCCCCCTTTTTTTAAAGATTTTATTTATTTGACACAGAGAGAGATCACAAGTAGGCAGAGAGGCAGGCAGAGAGAGAAGGAAAAGCAGGCTCCCTGCTGAGCAGAGAACCCGATGTGAGGCTCCATCCCAGGACCCTGAGATCATGAGCTGAGCCGAAGGCAGAGGCTTTAACCCACTGAGCCACCCAGGCACCCCAAATTTTTTCCCTTTTTTAAGTAAACTCTACACCCAATGTGGGACTCAAACTTAAAACCTCACCACAGTTAAATCAAGAGTCCCCTGCTCTCTCCTCCCTGTGCCATTCCCCTCACTTGTGCTCTCTGGCTCTCTCTGTCAAATAAATAAATATAATCTTAAAAAAAAAAAAGTCTCACGCTGTACTCACCGAGCCAGTGGTGTGCTCTTAATTTTTTAGCCATTAAGATAGGTGTGTAGTGATATCTCCTTGTGCTTTTTTTAAAGGTTTTATTTATTACAGGAGAAAGCGAGAGAGAGCAACCATGAGTAGAGGGGAGGGGCAGAGGGCAGAAGGAGAGGCAGGAGCAGATTCCCTGCTGAGGGGGGGCCCTAGGCAGGACTCCATCCCAGGACCCTGGGATCATGACCTGAGCAAAAGGCAGATGATTAACCAACGGAGCCACCCAGGTGCCCCTCTTCATGGCTTTAATTTGCATTTGCCTAGTGATTAATGATGTTGAACATCTCTGCATGTTCATCTCATGCCATCCGAAAATCCTCTTTCGTGTAATGTCCGTTCTTGTCTTTTGTTCGTTTTCTAATTGGATTTTTTTTTAAACTGTTGAGTTGTGAAAATTCTTTTTATGTTCTCGATACAAGCCTGTGTTGGGTACATGGTTTGCACATATTTTCTTTTACCCTGTAACTTGCTGTTTCATCTTCTGCTTAGAGCCTTTCAAAGGGAAAAAGTTTTTAATTTTGATAGGGTTCAATTTACTAACTTTTTCATTTTATGGATTGTGCTTATGGTGGCAAGTCTAAAAACTCTTTGCCTGGCCCTTGGACCTGAAGTTTTTGTTTTGCTTTGTTATTCTGAGAGAGCCCATGTGCTCTCCCAGGGGAAAGGGCAGAGGGAGAAACTGACTCCTTGCTTGTGGGGAGCCCCCAAGCAGGACTCCATCCCATGCCCCTGGGATCACGACCTGAGCTGAAGGCAGAGGCTTAATCCATTGAGCCACCCAGGCGCCCATGAAGATTTTTTTTTAACCATGTTTTTTCTAAACTATTATAGCTTTACATTTAAATCTATGATCCATCTAAAAATATGTATTTATTATTTGAGAGAGAGCGAGAGCGAGCACTTACACATGAGTGGGGGAAGGGGCAGAGGCAGAGCCCCACACTTGGCTCCATCTCAGGAGAGATCAGGACCAGAGCTAAATGGAGAGTAAGATGCTTAACGGACTGAGCCACCCAGGCGCCCTTCTATGATCCATTTTGAACGAATTTTTGTTTAAGGTGGAGGTGTAGGTAGAAGTTCTTTTCTTTCTTTTTTTTTTTTTTTAAAGATTTTATTTATTTATTTGACAGACAGAGATCACAAGTAGGCAGAGAGAGAGAAGGAAGCAAGCTCCCCGCGGAGCAGAGAGCCGATGCGGGACTCAATCCCAGGACCCTGGGATCATGACCTGAGCCGAAGGCAGAGGCTTTAACCCACTGAGCCACCCAGGCACCCAGTTCTTTTCTTTCTTTGCCTGCATATGTCCAATGCCTCAGCACTTTTTTTTTTTTTTTTAAGTAATCTGTACAGCCAACCTGAGGCTTAAACTCACAACCTCAAGATCAGGACTCCTGAGCTCTAGGGACGGAGCCAGTCAGGTGTCCCAGGAGCAGTTGTTGAAACGGCACTTGCTTCCACTCTGTACCTTACCCCACCCATTTATTCTATGGCAGTCAGAATTTTTTTTTTAACGTGTATCATCTAATGTCATTCCCTGTTCAAAACCTTCCAGTGGCACGACCACATTACCCGGCCTCTCTCCGATGGCAATCTCTACCACTGGCCGTCCACTGTAATAATATTCCGCGGTCAGATGAATACCAGACCTCCTGTTCCACTGTCGTTTCCTCAGAGAGCCTTTTCCCAACTAACCTTGGAAAACTGTTTACTCCTTCAGTTTTTCTCCCTTGCCCTGCTTTTTCTTTCTTCCTTCCTTCCTCCCTCCCTCCCTTTCTTTCTTTCACAGATTTTATTTATTTGACAGACAGAGATCACAAGTAGGCAGAGAGGCAGGCATGAGAGGGGAAGCAGGCTCCCTGCCCAGCAGAGAGCCCGACAAGGACTCGATCCCAGGACCCTGGGACCATGACCGGAGCCGAAAAAAGAGGCTTTAACCCCCCGAGCCACCCAGGCGCCCCTGCCCTGCTTTTTCTTAACGGCACTAACATAATGCAGTGTATTACATATCAGTTTGCTTGTTTATTCTTTGTCCCCATTCCCAACCCCACCAAAGCCTCCTAGTTTACTGCCATAACCTCAGGCCCTGGAATAGTGTCCCGCACACAGTAGGTACTCAATAATGCAGTGTTGATGCGCTGGGAAGAAGGAGCAAACGGAAAGTGAGAAAGACCCACTTCTAGGTCAGGTGCCCGTTCGGACTTCGCGCAACGTGGGAGCGCCACCTCTCGGGAAGCCAACCTACTCGAGAACGAAGGAAGTGAGTCAGAGAATCTTCGGGAGTGCGGAGGCGAGGAAGGGCGGCGTGCCGGAAGAGCAAGAAAAAGCAGTGCCGGAAGTTAAACGTCGGAATGTTGCTCTCTAGAATGACATCCGACTCCCGAGAGGAAGCGTGGTCGAGTGGTGGTCTGCAAAACGGGCTCCCCGGCAGCCGATCCGGAAAGAAGCGTTCCGCGCCTGTGGGTTTCAGGAACCACGTGGGGCTGGGGCGTGTTTCCGGTGCCGGTGTCCCCAGAAGGAGTTGCAGCGGGAGCAGCTGGAGGGGTGAGAGGGGTATGGGGTCCTGAGAAGGAGGAGGGATACTGGGATCGGGGGAGGGAGGAAGGCGACGGGATCGCATGAATTCGGCCCTGAGACGTGGCCAGAGGGATCGGATGGGAGGGCAAGGCAGGGCAGCGCCGGTGGGCAGGTGCAGACCTGTCAGCGCACGTCCCACGCCACGTGGACTTGCCTTTGTCCGTGGCTAACTTTCCCATCGGGCCGCGACCACCCGGGTTGTGCCTTATTTGTCTCTGTCGCGTGCAGTGCTGGGCTCGGAGTGGGGGCTCAGCGAGTTCTTCCTGAATGAATGAATGAATGTGTGTGTGTGTGTGTGTGTGTCTCAGTTGTGTGTGTGTGTCTCAGTTGTGTGTGTGTGTGTGTGTCTCAGTTGGTGTGGAGGACATTTATAGGTGTACAAGGTATGGGTATAGAGATGATTTGTGGCTCGTTAGCCCGAATCCATGCTAGTCTCGAGCTTGCATTAGGAGTTCCTGCCAGTCCTTGGGTTTTGTCTCTTTTTCTTGGAGGGGCAGGGCGATTACGACTTAAGTAAGACATTTTCCTTACTCGTGTCGAATGCCAGGCCATGTGGCTGGGTACCAGGGAGAGACACAGGCACAAACCAGCCCCGTATACAGGCCGCAGGCCAGTGGGGAGACAGCAACTCGAACAAATTAAAATATATTAAGGTGCTATAAAAAGAGATTAACTGAAGTACAGGAAGATAGAGCCAGGAGGTGGTCTGGCTATCCTCATTAGGGATTGTCTTTCAAGGTCAGGGGCCTCCTCATTTCCCATCTTGTGGAATCACAGCAGGTCATGAGCCCAATCTTCTCTGTAAAAGGCAGGGTCAGGGATGGAGGTTGTCTGGGCCTCTTTCCTGCCTGATGTCCCATCTCAGATATTACCAACGTCTCTAGTTCTCCCATCATTCCCCTTTTACCGGCCTGAATATTCATTATGTCTTATGATGTAGCATAAATTGTATTGATTTGGGAAATCGGGATTTTGGACCTCATTCTGGTGCTTTAGATTTGTTTGGTTGTAAAATTAAGGGGATTATAACGAAATCATCTCTCAAACCTCTTCCATTTCTAATACCATGACTGTGGCAGTGGGTCAAACTGTTTCACTCTGCCTTGCACCTGACTGCCGCTTTATCGCTGTAGTTTCCGTTCTCTGGATAATTCAGAAAGTGTCTTTTTTTTTTTTTTCATGTTCCCTCCCTTAGTTCTGCCACAGTATTGAGTACAAAATAGATGTTTAATAGTAGCTTTTAAGTCAAATGGGATAGAATTAATAGTCCCTGGTTTTTTGTTTTTGCTTTGTTTTTTGTTTGTTTGTTTTTTGCTTAGGGAAATTTTTTTTTCTCCTTAGGAACATTTTTTACACATGTGCTAGTCCAGAGTTTTTTCAGTGCTGCTCCTTGTGGCGAACACGTTCATACTGTGCAATAGCGCGCTATTCCTTTTTTTTTCTTTCTTTTTTTTTCAGGTTTTATTTATGTATTTTAGGGAGACAGAGCTGGCACGCCTGAGCAGGGAGGGATAAAGAATCTGAAGCAGACTCTGCCTTGAGCGTGGAACCCATTGCAGGGCTTGATCCCCGACCCTGAGACAGGACCTGAGCTGAAATCAAGAGTTGGACACTGGACCGATGAGCCCCCCCCCAGTCGCCCCTATAGCACACTATTCTTATTGGCAAATACAACTACCATTGCAGGAACGTTGTCTATACCTATTTCTTTAAAATGTGCCTTCAAAGTAGCACAGTATGGTGAACACACTAGGAACTGGGTTCTTACCAGGGAGACTTGGAGTTGGCACGACAGATTTAAACCAGCTTTATGGGGTAATCCGCTTGAGAAGGATAATGATGTAGGCAGGATAGTCAGTACTGTTTCATCCTCCCAGCTGTTTATCCTCAGGACCATGGCCAACTGTGAACGTACCTTCATTGCCATCAAGCCTGATGGGGTCCAGCGCAGCCTCGTGGGAGAAATCATCAAGCGTTTTGAGCAAAAGGGATTCCGCCTTGTTGCTATGAAATTAATTCAGGTAAGTGGACTTCATTCTTCAAATTTCTGTTCTCTTGGAGGTCAGAGGATGATTGTAGGTTAGCCTCCTTGTTTTTCCCCCTTCCCTCTTTTTTTTTTTTTTTAAGCTTTCTCCGCAACACATAAGTCCAGAAACCTGGAAACTCCTTGGTATCCAGTAGGAATCCTACAACAAACCAAGCTACTGGGACTTCGGGAAATAGCCTCTCTTTTCCCTTAGCAATGCAGATTCTGCATATTACTGCAGCACTGTGATTTCTTTCTTTTTTTCTTTTTTCTTTTTTTAAGATTTTTATTTTTTTAATTTAATTTAATTTATTTTTTTTTTAAGATTTTATTTATTTATTTGACAGAGACAGAGAGAGAGCACAAGCAGTGAGGAGCAGCAGAGGGAGAGGGGGAAGCAAGCTTCCTGAGGATCAGGGAGCCTGATGCGGGGCTCAATCCCAGGACTCCAGGATCACAACCTGAGCTGAAGGCAGAGGCTTAACCCACTGAGCCACCCAGGTGCCCTTAAGATTTTTATTTTTAAGTAATCGCCACACCCAGTGTGGGGCTCAAACTCAGCCAGGAGATCGGGAGTCACATGCTCCACTGACTGAGCCAGCCACATGCCCCTTTTTTCTTTTCTTTTTTTTTTCCCTTCAAAAAAAATTTTTTTTTTAAAGATTTTATTTATTTATTTGTCAGACAGATCACAAGTAGGCAGAGAGGCAGGCAGAGAGAGAGGTGGAGGGGGGGAAGCAGGCTCCCTGCCTAGCAGAGAGCCCGATGTGGGGCCCGATCCCAGGACTCTGGGATCATGACCTGAGCCGAAGGTAGAGCCACCCAGGTGCCCCCCCTTCAAATTTTTATTTAAATTCTAGTTAGTTCACATACAGTGCGATACTGTTTTCAGGAGAGCACTGTGCTTTCTGACTCAGAGTCCTGGTGGGTGTGTTTGAGCTCCTGGTCTTGAGCTTCCTGAGCAAATTTCAGAGAACTTCTTCCCCCTCCCACACCCCCCTCTCTGAGCCAGGTTGATCCTCAGCAAGGAGATCTTTCCATCCTTGTTTACTGTCCACTTAGTGTCTATTGTCTAGTAGGCACCATCAGGGCATGTTGGGGGGAAAGCTGTGGTTTTGCCCTTGGGAGGCCTGCCTGAAAACAGCAGAGAGCAGAAACTCTTGCAAGACACCTACCTGCAAGGCAATATTTCAGAAAGTGAAAAGGAGGGGGCACCTGGGTGACACAGTTGGTTAAGTGTCAGACTCTTTGTTTCAGCTCAGGTGGTGATCTCAGGGTCATGGGATGGAGCCCTGTGATAGGCTCTGTACTATCTGTACTATTGAGGGGTGCCCCTAAAATATTTTTTAAAAATTAAAAAAATAGGGGCGCCTGGGTGGCTCAGTGGGTGAAAGCCTCTGCCTTTGGCTCAGGTCATGATCCCAGGGTCCTGGGATCGAGCCCTGAATAGGACTCTCTGCTCAGCAGGGAGCCTGCTCCCCTCTCTCTCTGCCTGCTTCTCTGCCTACTTGTGATCTCCGTCTGTCAAATAAATAAATAAAATCTTTAAAAAAAAATAAAAAAAATAAAAAAAGGATGTGGGCTTGAGGAAGAATGGGAGGAGGGACAGCTGCCAGGAGTTTGCCAAGTTGTTTATATCTGACATGGGGGAGGGAAGGGAGGGAAAACTTGATGTCCCCCCTCCAAAAAAAAACCTGTAATCTGTCCCACAGACTAAAGATAACCAACACCGGGGCACCTGGGTGGCTCAGTTGGTTAAGCATCTGCCTTCAACTCAGGTCATGATCCCAGGGTCCTGCCCTGCACTGGGCTCCCTGATCAGCAGGGAGTCTGCTTTTCCCTCTATCCCTCCCCCCTGCTTCTGCTCGCTCCCTCTCTCTCTCTCTCTCTCTCTCTCTAAGTAAATAAGTTAAAAAAATCTTAAAAAAACAATAAAGATAACCAGAACCCCCCCACCCCCCAAAAAATAATTTGAACCAATTAGTAGAATTGAAAGAGTTGAGGGAAGGACAGGACCAGTGAGCGTGTGCTGGGAGATCACCACTACCAGTCTTCCTTTGGGACTGGGGCATGGCCAAGAGTGAATTGCTGAGGGGGCATGGTCACTTGGCTGTGTCCTTTTACTCTGGCAAGGAACAGCCAACCGGAGGCAGAGTGATGGGCCGCTCTGGCTGTGCTTTCTGGCAGCGGCTGTCCGCAGTTGTGGGTGTGAGTGCAGCGCGCAGGGTGCAGAACTGGGAGAACGAAGGGTCCTTGTCAGACCCTGAACGAGCCTGTGTGCCTTGAGGGAGCCTGGCTGAGGGAGTCGGAATTGCCAAGCAGCTGGTTTGCTCTCTGGCTGACTTGTTTTGTCCCCACACACCAGCCTCGCAGAGGGAGAGTTTCTAAGTCCTTCTTCAGCAAACTTCTTTATTGCTGGATGTCATGTACTTTTGAGTGGTTTGTGAAATACTTGTGGGGACCACATAGTTGTCCCACCTGGTCCCTGGCCTTCCTCTCCTGAGTAAACGTGCCATCTCCCTGGGACATGGCTGGGTTCAGTTTGCTTCCTGTCGAATGCCAAGACCCCACCACCCCCGACTTCCCTCTGACATTTGAGTTGAGGCTTGCTCTCAATGAATGGAAATTCATCGTATTGTTAGTTTTACTGTCTAAAGTGGCATGGCCGGATCTGATTCTAATGTTCTGTGGTTTTATTCCCATCAATCAAGGCCAATAGGGGGGGAATTGGCACAAAGCTGAAACACTTTGAGTCTCTCTGGCATCACTCACCTCTGGTACTGGTGGGAGTGGATTGCGTCACAACAGAATCAGTGAACTAAGAGCTCACATTTTATTTTACTGATTTATTTATTTATTTATTTTTTAAAAGATTTTATTTATTTATTTGACAGAGAGAGATCACAAGTAGGCAGAGGCCGGCAGAGAGAGAGAGAGGAGGAAGCAGGCTCCCCGCTGAGCAGAAAGCCAGATGCGGGGCTCGATCCCAGGACCCTGGGATCATGACCCGAGCCGAAGGCAGAGGCCTCAACACACTGAGCCACCCAGGCGCCCCTACTGATTTATTTTTAAGATTTTATTTATTTGACAGAGAGAGACACAGTGAGAGAGGGAACACAAGCAGGGGAAGTGGGAGAGGGAAAAGCAGGTTCCCCGCTGAGCAGGGAGCCTGATGCGGGGCCTGATCCCAGGACCCTGGGATCATGACCTGAGCCCAAGGTGGACGCTTAACAACTGAGCTACCCAGGCGCCCCAAGTGCTCACAGCAGTGAGTGGGAAATAACTAGATTGTTAGTTCTTAGAAGGCTTGGGGGGCCATTTCTCATTCTTTGTCCTGCACAATAGGCTTCTGAAGACCTTCTCAAGGAGCACTACATCGACCTGAAGGACCGTCCCTTCTTTGCCGGCTTGGTCAAATACATGCAGTCAGGGCCCGTGGTTGCCATGGTGAGTGTGCATGGGTGAGATATGGATGTGAACCACTCCACTGGGAGCCGAGTGTGAGGCGTGTGATTCCTGCCTCTGATGTCAGGTCCTCACTGATACAGAGGAAATGGGGGCTGGGAGGATTGTACAGTTAGGATGTGAGTTAGCTCTCTGACCCACCGAAGGCACGATGTATTTGTTTGCTAAACTGAGGACCCACAGTGACTCATAGCTGGGAGCAATCAGGAGACGTCGGCCTGATTCTACACTTCAGGAGGGCAACGAGATTGTGTCTTGCTTCCTGCAGTAATTTTCCTCCAAGTATGTATTGGTTATCATTGTGCCAGGCTCTCTTCCAGACACCAGGGATACAGTCATGAATGAGACAAATAAGTACTTATTTTCATAGCTTTGCTCACTTACACATCTTGAAGGCAGATAATGAAGAAAAAATACGTATGTATATGCTAATGATTAGTGATATGCACAGAAATGAAATAGGTTGATGGGATAGCAATGGCCACTTTAGATTGGGTGGTTAAGGAGCATGCTTTTTGAACTGAGATCAGAGTGAGAAGAAAGGGCCAGACTTACACAAAATCACGCTGAAGAACAGTCTCAACAAGAAAACAGCATGTGCAAAGGACCTGAACTTTCTGAAGTACAGAAAGAAGGTTGGAGCAGTTGGAGCCTGGTAGATGAAAGAGAAGGTCAGATGACAAGGGTTCAGAGGCCTGGGCCTGGGCCAGATCAGGCAGGGCTGTGCTGGCCATGCACTTCCTGAGCTCCCGGACAGACGCTAGGGGAGGTCTAACGAGGCATTTCTAAAAGGCTGCTCCGGCTGCTCTGTCGGGAATGGATTGTAGAAAAGCAGGAGTGGGAGCAGGGAGACTAGTATTCCCAGTGCTGGAACAAGTAGCTGCTCCATAATTATTCCTTCAGTGTTAAGGGGGCTCTTTGTTTTCTTTTTTTTGAATTGATTCCAGATTTTCTGCTGAGGTGGGTTTTCTTCCTTGACCATATATTCTTTTATCCTTGGAGGTCTGGGAGGGCCTGAATGTGGTGAAGACAGGCCGAGTGATGCTCGGGGAGACCAACCCTGCAGACTCCAAGCCTGGGACCATCCGTGGGGACTTCTGCATCCAAGTTGGCAGGTGGGAGTGGGTGCTTTTGCCTTTTTCCAAAATCTGAGTTAGGTGACATAAGCATTTGGGTTCCTCGGGCTCTTGGCTGGCTCAGTTGGTAGAGCATGTGACTGTAGATCTTGGAGTTGTAAGTTCGAGCCCAGCCCTCCTTTGGGTGTAGAGATTACTTAAAAAAAAAGAAAAGAAAAAGAGAAGAGGGGCGCCTGGGTGGCTCTGTGGGTTAAAGCCTCTGCCTTCGGCTTGGGTCATGATCCCAGGGTCCTGGGATCGAGCCCCAAATCGGGCTGTCTGCTCAGCGGGGAGCCTGCTTCCCTCTCTCTCTGCCTGCCTCTCTGCCTACTTGTGATCTCTGTCTGTCAAATTGAAAAAAAAAAGAAAAGAAAAGAAAAAAAGATCTTAAAAAAAAAAACAAACAATTGGGTTTCTGAGGCTGGGATGGACATGATACCATAGGCAGATCAATTTAAAAATCAGTTCTTTTGTTTCTTTCTCTCTGAAATTGGTGCTTGGCTTGGTGACTTCTCTGCCCTCGGCCGTCAGCATCCCTGTGGTTGCGCCTGGCTTGGGAGGGTAGAACCGGGTACAGCACCGAATGCTGGCCAGAGTCCCCTCTCGTCTTGTGTCGGTGTTGCTCCGAGGACTGGAACACAGGGAGGGCATTCTTCACCCTCACCTGAACCACGGCTGTGGGCTTTTTCTTTTACTGTGGACTCAGGTGCAGGGGGCTCTGGCTTTTTCTGCTTCAGGGGGCTGTCAGCTTTCTGGCACTGGGAGCCGGGGGTCTTCTGGGCTGTTGACTCCTTTGGGTCTCGGTAACGGCCCTCTCTCTCCCCCATCCAGGAACATTATCCACGGCAGCGACTCTGTGGAGAGTGCAGAAAAGGAGATTGGCTTGTGGTTCCAGCCTGAAGAGCTGGTGGATTATAAGAGCTGCGCTCAGAGCTGGATCTACGAGTGACCGGAGAGCAGACCTCCATGCTTTGTTCATTCCGTTCCCTCTCCCTCCCCTGAGCAGGGGGCCAGGCTCTCACAAATTCACTTAATTTTGAGACCTTCCTTCTAACCTGGAGGGCATTTCCTGGAGCTGGGTGTGCTCACTGTACAGTATTATGTGCTGCCGTCAAATTAAAATATTTCATCCCAACATAGGATTCTTCGAGATGGTTACTTTGTAATGCCCTCTTGCTTCGTATTCTTTTTTCTTTCCCATTTACGCTGGGTAACCTGAGGGGACAGAGAGTGTAAATACTATGTAAATTATTTTTGTTGGCCTGAGATCTCTTTCTCTCTCTCTTTTTCTCTTTGCCCATCCTTCCTTTTACTCCTGTATCCCATCGGCTCTTGGCACCGAGCCAGTCAGTAGTTATCTAGGAAGATCTGCTTGTTACCGAGATTGTACTGGGGGCAGAGGATTCCCTGGAAATAAGAGATGTCCTTCCTGATCTTGAGAAGCTTTCAGGGCCTCAGCGGATGGGGGAGTGTGAGAAGTTGTAACTACTCCCAAAACAGAAAAGCCGGATAGTGGGCCTCTGGCCCTGGAAGAATGTCAGAAAAAGCAGGTGAAATCTTGTGAGTAGCTTTGATTTGTTAGGGCGCTGATTTGGTTGCTTTAATAGAGGCAAGATGGAAATTTCCTTCTCTTTTATTTAAAAGTCTAAACTAGAAATCTAACGTACAGCCCTGGGTCTCGTTGTTCACAATGCTGCGTCGTGTACTTGAGATTTGCAAAGAGGATAGATCTTAAATATGCTCACACGCACACAAATGAACATGGTAACGATGTGAAGTGTTACGTTCCATAGCTTAATTGTGATCATTGCACAGTATATGTAAATTAAAACAGGTTATATACCTTAAATATGGAACACGTTTTGTCAGTTATACCTCAAGAAAACTGCAAAAAGTCCAAGTGGCTAAGTAGGGGTGGTGATGGCAGTGAGGTTCTGATCCTTGAGGTTGTCCGAGGGCTGATTCTAACCATGCCTTGTCCCCTACGCATGCCTAATGACAGGTTGGTAAGGAAAGTGGATTGTTCCTTTCTTTGAAGGGCGTCACCGTGAATCTACCACCTTCACTCCCCCTCCCATCTCATTGGCCAGAACTTCACGTGCGAGCCTCCTGCTGCAAGAGAACGTGGAAAAAGTTTTTATCTGGGCACCCTTGTGGCTAGGGAATACTTCAGAGCTCGCCTATGAGAAGGGGGAAGCTAAGAATACATCTTGGAGACAATTACTTTTGCTACAAACTTCAAGGTTTCTTTCCTGCTATTTTCCCTGTTCACCTGGCTTTGGTAGAGGCAGGGGAGCTGAGGGGAACTGGGTTGGAGGCTGCTGTGTTTCTCCACCTTCATTGGGGTGCACCTGACCAAATTGTAAGATTACTTGAAGGGTGCAATGAGAGTTGACAGATGAACATGCTTCCTGAGGGCGCGCAGGAGAAGAATGAGGCACAAACAGGGCTGCTGTAAGAGAGAGGGAGCCTGGACGACTCCTCAGTCCCCTGTTTATCAGATACAAGATGACCAACAAAGGAGAAGGTTATAATTAGCCATAGGTCTTGTAGGTAAACAAGAAGGAATGTGAGTCATATGTTGATCACAAGTCTTACAGGTAAACAAGAAGAGGAGAGGTGTGTCTGGTCCAGCAGCATGGAATTTGCTGAGCAAGCGCAGAGGCTTTCTCTGAGGCAGGGGAGGCTACGAGAAAGGGACTCAGGCAGGGAAGCAGGTGGTGGTCTGCCCTGAGAGAGCGGGGCATCCCCGGCTGCTCAGGCATCCCCAGCTGCTCTGCTTCAGGGACGGCTTCAGGGTCGTGTATCATCCTCTCCACCAGAGGCCCTCTGCTAGTACATATTTTTCTCAAGGTCATCTTTTTTTTTTTTTTAACCTTTTTTTTTTTTAGATTTTTATTTATTTATTTGACAGAGATCACAAGTAGGCAGAGAGGCAGGCAGAGAGAGAGCTTGGAGGAAGCAGGCTCCCCGCTGGGGCTCGATCCCAGAACCCCGGGATCATGACCTGAGCTGAAGGCAGAGGCTTTAACCCACTGAGCCACCCAGGTGCCCCTCTCAAGGTCATCTTTAAGCATGCTTGCGTGACCAGTACAACTCCTCATTAGTTGTATTTTAAGCAGTATATTATTCTGAGGTTCTAAGGGACAGTTACATTGTGAAAGGATTTCCTCCATGGGGTGGGGGGGCTACTTTCCTTCCAGGCAGCTGAGAACTAGATGCATTTCTGTTTCCCTGTTGGGGGAAAGTACTTGCACCTTTGGGGAATGATTGTGTGTGCAGGGAGGCGGGGTCACACCTTGCCCAGTTAAGGGCTGTCTTTTCAGGAAGGGCAGGGAATGTGAAAGGCAGAAGGCTGCTATGGTCCATACCGCAGGAGCTAGAGTGACTGGACCAACGGGGCAAACAGCTCTCCAGAGAAATCTCCAGTGAAATTCCCAGACCCTGTCCCACAGTTGACATTGGATAACTCTGAAAAGGAAGCCCAAATTAGGGCTCTACCTTGAAGCCAAAGGGAACACTGGCTGTCTCTTCTCCAGAAGGAGAATTGCGTTTTAATGCTTTGCACCTAGCAGTGTGGGAAGGCAAGAAGGTATCACAGAGGGCTGGATTGGTCCATTGCAGCCGAGGCCAGGTTTGCAGGTTGGCTGGGGGTGGGTGGGGGTGGTGGGGCAAACAGACCAGGTTCCACACTCCCCACTGACAAAACCCAAAGGCAGACCAGTTGAGGCCGAACAAGAAGAGAATTTATTTCTGGGAGGCCAACAAAGACTAGACCAACATCTCTCTCAAAGACTGTCTCCAAAGTGCTGAAAATACTTCCAGGTTTCCATATGGAAACGGACAAACGTCGGTGTGTACCTGCAGGTGGGCACTGAAGGTCAAGTCGATCAGTGTCTTGGGGTTGGTCCTGCAGAGTCCTCCCTGCTGCTTGAGGGGGTAGTATCGGTTCCCATCAGGGAATGCTTTGCCTGCAGGGGCTTCTCCCAGAGTTAAGTGATAAACTAGGAAGAATTTAGTCACCTGGAGGGTTTGAGGTCAAAATGGAGGTAGCTGAAGTCTCTTTACCTGGCGGGTACTGGTTATCAGGGCGGTCACTGCCAGCAGTCGGGTGAGGCCCGCGGGGCCCACCATCAGCTCACGGTCCCGAGCAGGGACAGACAGGAGGCCTGGGACCATCTCAGGGACAAGCATTGCTGGACTGCTGTCCGCGCCGGCGGTAAGGAGGGGCTCGCTGCCTCCGCCCCGAAGCCGAGCACGGCCCGGGGGTGGGGAGCTGTGTGCGGACGCGCCAGGTCTGACTGCTGAGAGACCATCTAGAACCGTGTCAGGATGTGTCTCGGGCTGGGGCAGCTCACCGCACAGGGAGTATGAGTGTGTGCGCGCGGGCATGCGCGCGTGTGGCAGGAGGGACTGCGGGGAGGGCTGCGGCCCGGACGGGCTGAGTTCCTGCCGTGGGGCAGCGCCCCCTCCCGACACTACCCCTCCAGGACACCCCCGCCCCCCAACCGGGAGAGGAAGCCACTTCCTGCTCCCGAGCCCCCTCGCCTCCTCGCCTGCCCGGGGCGTGAACAGCGGTCTCGGGCAGCGTCGGCCTCGCGGGTTGGGCGGCGGGGCGTCCGGGGTGTGGCCGTCGCGCGCCCCTCCTCCCCATCGGCTCCCGGCCAGCGGCTAGCTCCACGTCTCGTCTCCCGCCCCGCCGCGCAGCCTGCTTCCCGGTAAGGCGCTGGGGGCGCTTTTCCTCGCCGCCCCCCGGGCACCCCTCCCCCGCCCCCAGCGGACGCGCTCGCCCCCACCCCCTCGCCCTTCCCTGGGCCCTGCGCCGGGTCCCCTTCCGCGGGGCGGCGGCCGGCGAGCTCGTGTCCCCGAAGAGCGGACGGAGGGGCCGGAGCGCCCGCGGGGTTGGGGGCGGGGGGGAGGCGCGGGCCGGGGGAGGGCGGCCGGGGTCCTGTGTCCCCGAGGCCGTGGGCCCTGAGCCGACCTGTCGCCCGCAGGCCATGGCCCACCAGGAGCGCACGTTCATCGCCATCAAGCCGGACGGCGTGCAGCGCGGCCTGGTGGGCGAGATCATCAAGCGCTTCGAGCAGAAGGGGTTCCGCCTCGTGGCCATGAAGTTCCTGCAGGTAACGCGGCCCCCCGCCCAATACCCCGCTCCTCCTCCGGCATCCCACGGCCGCCTCCCGCGCCCCGAGGACCTCCCCTCCTCCCCCTCGCGGCCCCAGCGGCGATCGCGGCCCTGGGGCCAGCGGGCACAGGCGCCCTCGCAAGGTTAAGCGGAGGTGACATGACGGCCCCGGGGAGCAGGGCCCGCGGGGAGCGGAGGAAACTGTCCCCCGGCCCGGCCACGCGGGCCACACGTGCCCACGGTGCGGGCAGACGGAGCTCCCTCCGGTTTAGGGCAGAGCCCGCTATTTCCACACTTTACATGTGGGCCACAGATCTGGACCTTTTGGGAGAGGTATTGAAATCTTAACCAAGCCCATCTGGGATGAGGAGAACATTCTCGGTTAGCGTGTGAAATGTTGCAAAGGGAGCTAGAAATGGGCCAAAAGAGTTGACATGATCTCTCTCAGACGTATCTTCCTCAAAGGCAGCCAACGCTTAACACTCCACATCCAGATTCTCAAACCACGTGCTTCTTAGGATGATAATATCCCCCCTAACAGCATGGACATTTTGAGGCTGTCTTCATGATCAGACCAGTGTTTCGGCTACAGAAGTATGTGTCGGGGTTTGGGTGGGATTTCGATGTATACCTTATGAATGTGAGCTAACATATGGTACAGGACTTGGCGAACCTGTCTTGGGGATGGGGGCTTCTGAGGATGGGACAGTCGTACTTCAGCCTTTCCAGCGTACTTCCTAACGGTGACCTCCTGTTGCATGCCAGGCCTCTCAGGAGCTCCTGAAGCAGCACTACATTGACCTGGAGGACCGTCCCTTCTTCCCAGGGCTGGTGAAGTACATGAACTCCGGGCCGGTTGTGGCCATGGCAAGTGCTTGTGGGGGCCTGGACTGGGGGGCCAGGAATAAGGGCTGGAACAGAGCCAGTCATCTTCCCCAGCCACTCCAAATTCCTTGTTTTACAAATGGAGCCTGCTGGAGTTACTCAGTGAACAGAACAAACTAGGAGCTTGGG